GGGCCCCGGCGCCGTCCCGCAGCTCTGCAGCTCCAGGCGGGCGCTCTGCCCCCTGAGCCAGGCGCCACCGCCGGGTTTCCCTGGAGATCAGAGTCCCCCGGACTCTCCCACCCCGGCTGGCCTCCAACCGCGATCCTCAGCTCTCAGCCTCCTGCGTAGCTGGGGTGACAGGCGGGAGCCGCCAGCGCCGCGGGGTACAAGCCTGGGTTGCTCAGGCCCACCCTGCAGAGGTGCAGGGATCTGGTGCGAATCCCGGGGCCGCCAGGTTGAGTGTCCCCCCTGCTGGCTTTCCCTCGCAGCCTTCCCTCCAGACTGGTGCTCCAGCCTCGACTCCCTCAAGGAGAGCTTTAAGATGGTCAACCGGCTCAACTGGTCCAGCATCGAGCAGTCGCAGTTCTCAGGTGAGGGCCGCAGGGATGGCATCCGGGCCGGCGCCCGTAGCTCACGCCTGTAATCCCGGCCAGTCAGGAGGCGGAGATGGAGGATCCCACGCGGAAGCCAGCGTGGGCACAAACGTCCAGGAGACTCTTAACCTCCACGGAGCCTCCAACAAAGCTGGCCGTGGAGCTGTGGCTCAGGGGTACAACGCCAGCCGTGAGTGACAAAGCTCAGTACAGCCGGGAGAGGCCCCGAGTTCAAACCTCAGTCCCGGCCGAAAGAGAGGGAGAGCAAGCGGAACAGAAATGGGAGCCGGAGAAGCAGAGAGGAGGAGAGGGAGAATTGGAAAGGGCTAGTTATTATTTCATATTATTACTATTATTTAATTAGTAGTGGAATTTTCGTGCTGGTGGTGGGACTTGAACTCAGGGCCTGGGCGCTGTCCCTGAGCTCTTCAGCTCAAGGCTGGCACTCTACCACTTGAGCCACAGCGCCACTTCTGGCTTTTTGCTGGTTTGTGGGAGATCAGAGTCTCTCAGACTTTCCTGCCCGGGCCGGCCTTGACCCGCGATCCTCAGATCTCAGCCTCCCGAGTGGCTGGGATGACAGGCGTGCGCACCGATGCCCGGCTGGTAGATCTTGCTGTGGTTTCCCGCTGAGGGAGAGGAGGGCTCTCGGGGTGCCCTGCCTCTCGGGGTGAGCTCGCTTCGCTTGTGTGTTTCCAGAACTGATGGAGAACCTGCGGCAGGCCGAGCAGAAGAATTGGACTCTGGACCAGCACCACATCGCCAACCTGTGCGACTCCCTCAGCCATTTCCTCACGCAGGCCGGGCACCTGCCCCCCCAGAGCCCGCACCGGCCCCCTGCGCTGGCCCCCCGCACCGAGGCCTGCGCCCTCACCAGCGGCAAGCAGGGGGCAGCCATGAGCCAAGGTACCCACCCGCCCTCCCGCAGAGGCGGACATTAGTGGTGCGTGGCCGGGCACCGGTGCTCACGCCTGCCATCCCAGCTACTCAGGAGGCTGAGATCTGAGGATCACGGTTCGAGGCCAGCCCGGGCAGGAAAGACCATGAGACTCTGATCTCCAGTGAACCACCAGAAAACCAGACGTGGTGCTGTGGCTCAAGGGGTAGAGCGCCGCCAACCTGGAGCTGAAGAGCTGAGGGACAGCACCCAGGCCCTGAGTTCAAGTTCCAGGACCAACACACACACACACAGACACAACAGTGCGAGAAAGAAATGTGAAGACTGGGGAAGGACATGTTGTGTTTCTTTCTTTCTTTATTGAGAAGAAAGACCCTTTTCTCCAGGAACCTGCTTTTTTTTTGTGTGTTGGTTGTGGGTCTTGAACTCAGGGCCTGGGCGCTGTCCCTCAGCTCTTCAGCTCAAGGCTGGCGCTCTACCACTTGAGCCACAGCGGCACTTCTGGTTTTCTGGTGGTTCCTTGGAGATCACAGTCTCCTGGACTTTCCTGCTCCAGGCTGGCTTTGAACTGTGATCCTCAGCTCTCAGCCTCCTGAGTCGCTGGGACGGCGGGCGTGCGCCGCGGCACGCAGCTTCAAGTAACTCTTGTCTTGCTTTGGCAGTGAACTCTTACGGACACCCCCAGCCCCCCCACCTCTACCCTGGCCCATCGCCCATGTACCCCGTCTCTACCCAGGACTCGGCAGGCTACAGCCGCCCAGGTAAGAGCGGGAAAGTGGCTTCCCCGCCCGCTCCCTTCTCCTTCATTCATTCTTTTTGAATGAATGAATGATTTTATGCCAGTCCTGGGTCTCGAACTCAGGACCGCCGGCCCTGGCTTAGCTTTCTCATTTAAGGCCGGCCGTACTCTGGCCGGCTTGGCCGGCCTGGAACCACGATCCTCCTATCTCAGCCTTCTGAGTGGCTGGGATTACAGGTGTGAGCAGCGGTGCCCGGCTTTCCTCCAACCTTGAATTCTCTCTGTCACCTCTCAGCTCACCACCTGGTCCCCCGGCCCCCCGTCCAGGCCTCCGCCGCGAATGAGGAGATTTCTGACGACTTCGACTGGGACTTGATCACCTGACGCGCCCTCCAGGAGAACGGAGACGGCGCTGCGCTCTTCCCGCTGTACATACACTCTCTCTCCCGCTTTTGGTTCTGATTCCTCCCCATCCCTGACATCACCGCCACCAGCTGCCACCAACCCAGACTTCCTGTCTCTGTCCTCGCTTCCTTCCTGTTTGGCCCCAAGTCTTGATCTTTCCTTGGTTGTTTTTTAATTCTTCTAATTGGAGGAGGAGGAGGAATTAATTAGTTTGCTGCGATCTCTCTCAAGCCTCCCAGCGCCAATCAGCGTCCGCCTTTGCTAATTGCAAAGCAAAACAAGAACAAGGAAAAAAAAACCGATCAGGCCTCCAGAGCCAACCACGATCCTAAGATCCCAGCCTCCTGCTCGGCTGGGATTACAGGCGTGCGCACCAGTGCCCGGCCGCCGGACCTGTCACTGGCAGGCGCAACCCACACTTGGTTGAGGGAGACGGGGTTCGGGGTACTGGTGTATTCTTAGCTCCTTCCCTTTGCTCTGCACCCCGGCCTGCCTCTCAGATCCTCTCTCCCCAGATCCCTCCTCATTCCTTCCCCTTCTCTCCACTTCCTCTCTCCTCCCTGTGGTTTTGTTTTTTAATTTTCTTTTTTTGTGTGTGTGTGTGTGTGTGTTGCTCCTGGGCCTTACGCCCGCCCTGTGCCTTCTTCTTATTTTTTCCTCCTCAAGCTTGGCGCTCTACCACTTGAGCCACACCTCCCCTCCTGGCTTTTAGCCGGTTCATAGGAGATAAGAGTCTGCCGGGCTTTCCAAGGCCAGGCTAGCTTTCAACTGCCATCCACATAGCCTAGCCGGGATTACAGGCGTGAGCCACCGTGCCCGGCCCTAGTTCATGATCTGAAGAGGTGGAGTTGGTTTTAGTTGGTGCATGAACACCTCTGGTCAGTACCGGGTCGGCTGGGTTTTTTGTTTGTTTTTGGTGGCTCGAACTCAGGGCCTGGCCTGGGTGCTGTCCCGTAGATCCTTCCTTCCTTCCTTCCTTCCTTCCCTCCCCAGGTTGGTGCTCTACCAACTGAGCCCAACCTCCACTCCTGCTGGTTCAGTGGAGATCAGAGTCCCCCGGACTTTCCTGCCTAAGGCTGGCCTCCAACCGCGATCCTCCACGCTCAGCCTCCCGAGTGGCTGGGACGCCAGGCGGGCGCCGCCGCGCCCAACCTTCCTTCCATGTTCACGTCACCAGCTGCCCACAGGGACACTGCGTGTCGGTCCTCGCGCTGCCTCCGCCCTCCTGCTTCTCTCCCCCGAGCCCCCTCTGCTCTGTGGCTGGCAGAGGAATCCGCGGGAGCGCGGGGAGAGGCAGAGATCGGAGCGGTTGGAGTGGGCAGCTGAGCGAAAGAAGCACTTTATTTCTTTGAGTCTTTTGTAAGAAAAAGAACGAAAAGAAACCCCACAGAACCCGGGCCGAGCACAGAACCTCCCGTCGTGCTCATGGGGTGGAAACTAGGGCATACTGTTTTGTTACTGTTGTTGTTTTTCCTTGGTGTCGGTCCTGGGGCTCGAACTCGCGGCCTGGGCGCCGTCCCTGAGCTCTTCAGCTCAAGGCGGGCGCTCTACCCCTTGAGCCACAGCGCCACGTCCGGTTTTCGGGCGGTTCATGGGAGATCAGAGTCTCACAGACTTTCCTGTCCGGGCTGGCTTTGAACCGCGATCCTCAGCGCTCAGCCTCCTGAGTGGCCGGGATGGCAGGCGTGCGCCACGGGTCTCTGCCTACACCTTCTTGTTGGCTTATTCACATCCACCTGGGTTTGGGCAGGGCCGAGTGAACTCTTTGGTCCAGGCAAGGTCTAGTCTCTTGAGACTCAAGCCCAGCCTCAGTTTCCCTCCCAGGAAATGGAAACAGACTCGTTTGACTTTGTAGTGTTGCCCTCTCCGTTCTGGTGGGCTGGGGCCTCAGGTCGGGTTGGGCAGTGGTGATGGGGACGAGGCGTGCAGCCGGGGTCTGCTCTCGGCCCCTCCGCCATGGCTGACACCTGCCTTCTACCCAGGATGCTTTGCGACCGCGCAGGCTGGGAGCCGTGTGGGATTTTGTTGGTTTGGTTTTGCATGCTTTCTTAATAAAAAGAAGAAAGAAACAAGCCTTCCCAGCTGTCTGCTGTCTTTTCTTCCCTCCTTTTATTTATCTATTTATTTAGTTACTACTTTTCTGCCAGTGGTGGGACTTGAACTCACGCCCTGGGCGCTGTCCCTCAGCTCTTCAGCTCCAGGCTGGCGCTCTACCACTTGAGCCACAGCGCCACTTCCGGTTTCCTGGTAGGTAATTGGAGATCAGAGTCTCACTGGCACTGGCACCCAGTGGCTTTCTTGATTTACTCAAGATTGGTGCTCTACCACTTCAGCCACAACTTTTTGCTCGTCAATTAGAGGTAAAAGAATCTCACAGACTTCCCTGCCCGGGCTGGCTTTGAACCCTGATCCTCAGATCAGGGATCTGACCTTCTCGGACAGCGAATCTCAGGATCACCTGGTGGTGGATCACATGTTCAGCAGGTCCACGGATTCCAACCAACCACCTCCACCCATCCAGCTCCTCCTCACATCAGGGATCTGAGGGTCAGGGTTCAAAGCCAGCCTGGGCAGGAAAGTCTGTGAGACTCTTGATCTCCAAGGAAGCAGCAAAATAGCAGAAGTGGCGCTGTGGTTCAAGTGGTAGAGCACCAGCCTTGAGTGAGAAAGCTCAGGGCCCGAGTTCAAGGACTGCTGACACACACACACACCCCAACCCAATTCACAAATCTTGAGTCCTGCAAGGAAAAGTGGGAGGAAACGAAAGCATTTATTCACCTATAACGGACACACCGGGGAGCGGTGGCTCTAAACTCCGACCGTCCACCAGCCACGAGAACCCAATGCCTGAGAAACACGTTGGCCCTGGGCGCTGGCGTCTCCCGTGTGTTGGGGGGCTGGGGTCCGAGCAGCTGGGGAGGCTGAGATCTGAGGATCAGAGGCCCCGAGTCCGGACTTCATTGCTGTTCTGGTGTGCACACGCATGCACACGCGTGCGCACACACTCCTACACACCAACGGCAGCCAGGATGCCCCAGCACGCAGCCGTGTCCCCCGGCAGGCAGGCCTGGCTGGGGACGCTGCATCTCTAAGATGTCTCCAGGCTGGGCTGCAACCTCAATTAGTCTCCTCTGGCCTCGGGGTCCGATTCATGGATCCCTCCCCCCTTCCTCCTTCCCTCCCCTCCCTCCCCTTCTCTCTCCCTCCTTCCTTTCCTTCTTTCCCTCGTGCCTGAACTCCAGGCCCTCCAGGCCGGCCGGGCGCTTGGCCGCGTGAACCACCCCTTGGACGGCCGGTTTTTGGTGGGTGTTTTTTTTTGGGGTGCTGGCTGAGAGTCTCACGGCCTTGTTCCTTGTGCGGGGTGTGGATTCCGTCATGGGGTGGGGGGGGGGTGATCCTGTGATCTCAGCGCACAGGAGGAGCCGGGATTACAGGCGTGCGCGTCCGTCCGTCCGTCCGTGCCCCGGGGGGCGGCCCGGCGGGGCTCACACCCCGGTGCTCACGCTGGCTCTGGGCTGGGAGGCGCTGGTGGACGGGGTGAGGTCCTCGCTGAAGGCGGCCTCCAGGATCCCCCGCAGCGACTGCCGCGCCTTCTTCCGGAAGCCTTTGCCCAGGAAGGCGTAGAGGAAGGGGTTGAAGCAGCTGTTGGCCGAGGCCAGCGCCACGGAGAAGAGATCCCAGGCCAGCAGCGCCTCCCTGTCGGGCAGGTCGGCCTCCCTGAACAGGAACAGCACCCCGACCACGTGGTAGGGCACCCAGCAGACCAGGAAGACGATCACGATGACCACAGCCACCTTGAACGTCTTCTTGGGACACGTGGAGAAGACGCTGCGCCTCGTCCTGATCACCACGGTGCTGTAGCAGGCCACCATGACGAGGGCGGGCAGCGCGAAGCCCAGCACCAGCCTGGTGAGCGTGATGACCACCAGCTCCGTGGGCACCTCGTACGGCCCCCCAAAGACATAGTCGGGCAGGTAGGGATACTCCTCCAGGGCGCTGGGGGACAGCAAAGCCTCCTCTTGGTCGGGGAGGAGCCGGATGGGGGGGAGACGGTAGGAATCCGTGGACCCGTTGAACATGTGATCCAGAGATTCGCTGTCCACCGCCAGGTGATCCGGAGATTCGCTGTCCACCGCCAGGTGATCCAGAGATTCGCTGTCCGGGAAGGGCATTGAGTAGACGTGATCCACAGGATCGAAGACAGCGTAGTTGTAGCCACACACCTCCTGCTGGTCCTCCACGAACGTGTCGCGGTAGAGGAACACGGGCACGCACAGCAGAAAAGCCAGGGCCCAGATGCAGCCGCACACGGCCCGGGCCGTCCCCACCCGCCGGTGGTTCTGACACCAGATGGGTTTGAGGACCACGAGGCAGCGGTCGATGCTGATGGCGGAGAGCAGGAAGACGCTGGCGAACATGTTCAAGATGACGGCCGACGGGATGAGTTTGCACAGGAGCCAGCCGAAGGGCCAGCGGCCCTGGAGGACGTAGGCCATGTTGAAGGGCAGGGACAGGCAGCAGAGGAGGTCGGCCAGCGTGAGGTGCAAAAACCACACGGTGTTCACCGTGCGCCGCATCTTAAAACCAGCCACCCACAGCACCAGCCCGTTCCCGGGCAGCCCCAGCAAGCACGTGAGGCCCAGGATGGCCATGGACGCGATCGTCACGGGGCTGAACGAAGCCTGTTTGGGGTCGTGGCTCCAGTGCGTGTGGTTGGACTCCATGCTGCGGCCACCTCTCTGTTCTAGAAGCAAAACAGGACGGGAGACCGTCGGGACGGGAGCCGGGCTGCGTAGCGCACGCCTGTAGTCCCGGCCACCCCGAAAGGGCTGCGGCTGGGCAGCCCAACCGCGGGGAGAGACCCCAGAGAGTTCCACGAGCAACCCAACCGGCCACAACCACAACCACAACCACAGGTCAGAAGTGCAGACGCAGCTTGAATGGTCGGATAACAGCCCGGAGCGCAGGGAAGCCCAGAGACAAACACCGGACCCTGAGTTCAAGCCCCAGTGCAGACACAGACGAAAATAAATAACATCCTGTTTCACAGGCGTTGGCCTCAGGCCTGGATAGAAAGCTCCAGAACCCAGGGCTCCAGAGATCAAAGGCTACTGAGTCATCCACAGACGTCGTTTCCTTTTCCGATGCCATTTGGAACAAAATGAAAGCATCAATTCCAGCCCGGTGCTGGTGTGGCCCCCGCCTGCCACCCCAGCTCCTCAGGAGGCTGAGATCGGAGGATCGCAGTTCAAAGCCAGCCCAGGCAGGAAAGGCCCTGAGACTCTGATCTCTGATTCATCAGCAAAAACCAGGAATAGAGCTGTGACTCAAGGGGTAGAGCACCAGCTTGGAGGGAAAAAAACTCAGGTTCAGCACCCAAGCCCTGAGTTCAAGCCCAGGACTAGCACGCGCATGCGTACACACACACACACACACACACTCCAATTCTTTTTTATCAGTCCTGGGGCTTGAACTCAGGGCCTGGGTGCTGTCCCTCAGCTCTTCAGCTCAAGGCTGGTGCTCTACCCCTTGAGCCACAGCGCCACTTCTGGCTTTTTCTGCTCATGTGGTGCTGAGGACTCGAACCCAGGGCCTCATGCATGCTAGGCGAGCGCTCTACCACTGAGCCACCTGCCCAGCCCGTCGCCTTCCAATTCTTATCCATTCTACCCCTCAGCCCCTCTGAACTTCTCCTTAACCGTCTTCCTGGCTCTGATCACACGTTCCGTGGCTTTGAATCGAGATTCAGCCACATCCCCACCCATCTGCTGACTTCAATGGTCACAGCTCCAACCCCAAGCTCAGCAGAAGTTAAAAGCAGCGAGTCAACAATTCACAAAGAAGAAGAAACGCTTTTCCTGTCCCCTGGCTCTTCCTACCCAGACACCACCCCGACCCAGCACTGTGGCTCCTGCCTGGCATCCCAGCCCCTCAGGAGGCTGAGATCTGAGGATCGCAGTTCAAGGCCAGCCCGGGCAGGAAGGTCTGGGAGACTCTGATCTCCCAAGGAACCCAGCAGAAAACCTGACGTGGCGCTGTGGCTCAAGGGGTAGAGCGCCAGCCTTGAGCTGAAGAGCTGAGGGACAGCACCCAGGCCCCGAGTTCAAGGCCCACGAGTGACTATATATCTAAATATACACACAATGTGGGACTTAAAAGTCATTCTGGGGCCCCCCTCGCCCCTCTCTGTCCTCTCTGCCCTGGGAGCAACTCTCATGGCCCCCCACAGCCCCCCCAAACCCCTGAAAATGTGTGCTTGCTCCAAACCGGCGGCATCAAGGGCCACGGACACAGCCTCCCAGTGTATCGGGGCTGGAGCCGCCGCAGTCGGGGTGGCCGGCTTCTGGGGTGGGCTGGGCACCATGTTTGGGGGGAACCCCATCTCTGGGTACCCCAGGAACTCTCCTCCGAAGCAGCGGCTCTTCTCCTCGGCCATGGTTTATTTTTTAGTCAGTCGTGGGTCTCGAACTCGTGGCCTGGGCGCTGACCCTGAGCTCTTTCAGCTCAAGGCAGGTGCTCTACCCCTTGAGCCACAGCGCCACTGCTGATTTTCCCAGTGGTTTATTGCAGATAGAGAGTCTCACGGACTTTTCCGGGCTGGCCTCCAACCGCGATCCTCAGGCCTCAGCCTCCTGGGTGGCTGGGATGACAGGCGTGCACACCGGTGCCCGGCTTGCTATGGGGCCCTTTTGCCAGATGCTGGCCTTTCTCATCCTCTTGGCTATGAGAAAGAGCTTTTTTTCCCCTCCCATGTCTTGTTTTCCTGAACCTTCCCCAGGAAATCTGGGCAAAGCGGTTGCCTCAGGATTTTCACTGAGGGAAGACAAAATAAACCAAGACTGAATAAGGAAAAAAAAAACAAGTCATTCTGGGACCTGAGGGCTTTGATGTTTCTTCACATGTCTCCAGGTGTTGGCTGAAAAATGCTCTCAAGAACTGGGCAGGTGGCTCAGGGGTAGAGTGCTCGCCTTGCATGCATGAAGCACTGGGTTCGAATCCTCAGTACCACAGACACAGAAAAAAGCCGGAAGTGGCGCTGTGGCTCAGGGGGTAGAGCGCCAGCCCGGAGCCAAAGCAGCTCAGGGACAGCACCCAGGCCCTGAGTTCCAGCCCCAGGCCTGGCACAAAACAAAAATACCCTTGACATTGAACATTCATATAATGATATTTAAGATTATTACATTAAAGGCTAAGGGTCAGGTAAAAGGTAGATGCTTGCTTAGCGTGCAGGAGAAACTAGGTTCAATCCTCCGCACCGCCAATAAACACCCAAAGAAGGGAATAAGTAGATGCCTATTAGTAAATAAGCAAGCCAATAATTCTGTTCAGACAAAGACAGTAGATCCAAGATTTCTCACAGTCCGACTCCAGAATGCTCCAGCAGTAAATAAAAAGAGAAAGAGCATCCTGAAACAAAAATTCATCTATGATCAGGAAAGAAAAAAAAAAAAAAAGGATCCTAGAGTCAAACATTAAGGATGGAAACCAGTACAAAACAAGAGATACTCAGGAGCAGAGACGAGACAGAAGGAAGGGCAGGTGCTCGTAGCACACACCTGTAATCCCAGCCACTCAGGAGACAGAGATCTGAAGATTGTGGTTCTCAGCAAGCCGGACAGGAAAGTCCGAGACAGTTACCCCTAATGAACCACCAAGAAGCTGGATCGGGAGCTGTATGGCTCAATTGGTAGAGCACCAACCTTCAGTGCAAACACTGAGGGACAAACTGAAAACTCTTACCTAGCCCCAGCGCCACTTCTGGCTTTTTGCTGGGTCCTTGGAGATAGGAGTTCCCCTGGACTTTCCTGCCTGGGGCTGGCTTTGAACCACGATCCTCAGATCTCAGCCTCCGGAGGAGCTGGGATTCCAGGCGGGAGCTACCCTGCCCGGCTATGGCTTTGCGGAGACCAAAACAAAAGCCAAACTCAGGAGCTTTGAAACTTCAGCCCCAAGACAGGCAAAGAAAAAGGAAATCAAAGAGAGAGAAAAAAAGAAACGGAGTGACACTTGACCAGCACGGGGGCTCAGATCAAAGATCTGCAAACACAAAACCAACGGAGGAGAGAAGAATCCAGAAATGAAGCCACACAGCTGGTTTGAAAGTGAGCACAAATGATGTGAAAAGCAAAGCCACAAAACACAAAGAACAAGTCCAGATCGTTCCCCCCCCCCCCCCCGCTTCCATTCAAGACATTCCCAAGAATCACCAAAGAAAAAGAAAGAAAAGAAGGTAGCCATAAGAATAAGAAAAGAAAAAGAAAAGCCAGGGAAGGAATAAGAATGGAAATGGAAGATGGTGGTTGCCAAACTCTTCTGTCTGCAAGGATGGGAGCCAGCAAACACTGCAGGGATCAGAAATATCTGGATTTTTCTTACCCCCTCTCAAGAAAAGGCCCTGGTCTCCCTCTGGATGGTTCCTGCGTCTCTGCTTGGCTGGCTACAATGAAGTCAGAGTTTATCTCTGTGTTTCCGACCACTTCCTCCTTTCTTCCCCTTTTCTGACCAGAAGCCAGCGAGCCAGTGAGTCATTTTTTTTTTTTTTTAAATTGACTTTCACAGGAAAACCAGTAGAGCAGATAGGTGGAGTTTGGAAGTCATGGAAGTTTCTCTTCGGGCTCACGGTTGGATGAGGGTGAGGGGGTGGGAAGGAAGGGGGAGGAGAAGTTTCTGCACAACAAGCCCCTGAGTGTCGCTTCTATTTTGGTCCAAGAAGTCATAGGAAGTCCAGAGCCGGGTGCTGTGGCGCATGCCTGGAATCCCAGCTTTGGAAAAGCTGAGATCTGAGGATGGCGGTTCAAAGCCAGCCTTGGCTAGAAAGTCCCTGAGACTCTGATCTCCAAGGAACCACCGGAAAACCAGAAGTGGCGCTGTGGCTCAAGGGGTAGAGCACCAGCCTTGAGCTGAAGAGCTGAGGGACAGCGCCCAGGCCCTGAGTTCGAGCCCCACGACCACCACCACCACCAAAAATAGGAAAACATATGAAGTCAAGACACGGAGGTAGGAGGGAAACCTGGAAAATTTCACCATAGAGATAAGGGTTGAGCGAGTCCTTAGATAATTATAGGGTTCTCAGCGGCTGGCTGGTAGCAGGAGCTGAAGGTTTGGAGCGTAAAGCGTAGCCCCAGGCCTCTAGATTCTTCTAGTGCTTCTGGAAATAGTGTGGGAGAGGAAAGGTGATTTCCTGCTGCTTGTGAGGATTCTCTCACCAGCTAGGTAGCTCACGCCTGGAATCCCAGCTGCTTGGAAGGCTGAGCGAGGAGGATCATGGTCTGAAGTCCATCCGGGCAGAAAAGGCTCTTGTGTCCAAAACAAAGCTGGAGGTGTGGCTCAAGGGGGAAAGCACCAGCGTTGAGTAAAGAAAAGCTAAGGGGCTGTTCCGAGGCTCTGAGTTCAAATCCCAGGACATACTCTCTCTCTCTCTCACACACACACACACACACGGATGACCCCCCCCCCCAAAAGCAGAAGCTCTGCGGAATCGCGCAGCTAGGACAGGAAGGGAATACTCTACACCGCAGAACACAGAAGACCAAAGTGAAATGCTCAGCCTCAGGCGGGAAGTGCAGGGAGCAGCAGATAGCATCGAGCGGCCCAGGCCGGCCTTGCACAACTGATAGCACAGCGGACAGGCCGCCGCTTCGCTGCGAGGCCCGAGGAGGCCCGAGGAGGCCGGAGGAGGCCGGGCCTCCCTCAAACCAGAGCCGCCCCGCTGCACAGAACACGCACCAGACACCACCAGAACCCTCCCTCCCCTCCCTCCCTCCCTCCCTCCTTTCTCTCTTCCCTCCCTCCTCCCTCCTTCTTCTTTTTCTTTTTGTCAGTCCCGGGACTTGAACTCAGGACCTGGGCGCTGTCCCTCAGCTCTTCAGCTCTAGGCTGGCGCTCTACCCCTTGAACCACAGCGCCACTTCTGGCTTTTAAAACATTTTTTTTTGCTGGTTCATTGCCGATGGGAACGTGGAGGAGTTTCCTTACCAGACTGGCTTCAAACCTCAATCTTCAGCTTTGAGCCTCCTGAGGAGCCGGGATTACAGGCGGGAGCTACCAGTGCCCAGCTTTTTTTTGAAGATGAAACTTTTCTCCAACTTCAAGGCCTCGGCGACGAGACTGCAGGGGTGAGTCACTGCAGCCTGACCGAAAGCTCTCTCTTTCTTTCTGTTTTGCTGGTCACAGGCCTGAGCTCGGGACCCGGGCGCTGTCCCTGCGCTCTCTCACATCATTACATAAATCTTCCATGATAAGCCACAGTTTCACTTCCCATTTTCTGGTGGTTCCTTGGAGATCAGAGTCTCCTGGACTTTCCTGCCCGGGCTGGCCTCAAACCGTGATCCTCAGATCTCAGCCTCCTGAGTAGGTGGGAGCCACCAGCACCTGGCTGCAGACTTTTTTGCTTGCTTGTGTTTTGTTTTTAACTTAGTTAGCTTTGACTTGTCCCTGTCTTGTCTATTATTATTATTATTAATAATTATTATTATTTTTGGTGACAGTCCTGGGGTTTGAATTCAGCCTGGGTGCTGCCCTTCAGATTTTGTGCTCAAGGTGGGTGCTCTACCACTTGAATCACAGCTCCACTTCTGGCTTTTTTGGTGGTTCATTGGACTATGAGTCTTGTTAGGTCTGGGCAGGTGGCTCAGTGGTAGAGCGCTCGCCTCGCATGCATGAGGCCCTGGGTTCGAGTTCTCAGTACCACAGACACAGAAAAAGCCAGAAGTGGCGCTGTGGCTCAAGTGGTAGAGCACCAGCCTTGAGCTAAAGAAGCTCAGGAAAAGCGCCCAGGCCCTGACTTCAAACCCCAGGACTGGCCAAAAAACAAAAAAAAGGTCTCTGAGACTTTCTTGCTCAAGCTGGCTTTGAACCGCGATCCTCGGATCTCAGCCTCCTGAGCAGCTGGAATTACAGGCGTGAGCCACCGCACTGGGCTCAGGAAATGGGTAATCTTATTTTTGCGGTGCTGGAGATGGCCCACACGAAGCTGCAGCCCCATGCGGGGAGCACACGAGAGTGCACACTTGCAGGCGGCGGGCTGCGTGCGGGCTGCCAGCAGATCCCTTTTTTTTTGGGTCCAGTCGTGGGGCCTGAACTCTGGGCCTGGGCGCTGTCCCTCAGCTCTTCAGCTCAAGGCTAGC